TGTAGAGTAAAAAATAATTGAGAAAAATATGGAGACGACACATGGATTATTGGGTAAAAGAACAAAATTACCCTCGAGGCACATCGAAATTTCTACGCGCAAGTAACGGACAATCATGGCACAATCAAGGTCAAAAGTGATCAAAATAGGTATTTATTCAAAATCTATTTCATCCATCCTCATCAAATCCTCCCCACAAGATAAGTCCCAAATTATTTCTTTCAAATTATATTAATTGGCTAATTAATTGATTTATTACTCAATTAATTTATTAATTAGCTAATTAATTGTGAATTACACCCAAAAAACCACTAAAGTGGCTAGTTCCTATCTCTCCCAAAGGGGCCGGCCACACCCTATAATATCGCCCACACCCGTATAAATACCGCCCCATTTTCTCAAAAAACCTAATTCCAACTCTCTTGCTAAATTCTTCAAATTTCTCTAAACACTTTTCTCTCAAATTCTAACTTTGGCATCAGAGGTACTTTGCCCAAAGCCTCCCCCCATACATCATGGGTGCATGAGGCTGTTGGCCTTGACCTAAGGTGTTAATTGTTTTGTAGGTGCAATTTTGTCCAAGAAGAAGAATGCGGAAATTTGCATCCATAAATTGGTGCTTTCATTGAGAGCTTGAGTCACACACTCGTAGAAGACTCTTGCATTCAAGGTTTTTCATTATCTTGTTCATTTGTAGATTTTTCGTACGTTCTTATTCTTGGAATTTTTATTTCTAAAAATTCTTTGATAAAACGTAAAAGAAAAGTACAATGGCAAGAGATTCGAAAACCTCGACGAACGGAAATTCCAATGTTCAAGAATTAGGGCCGCGACGATCTACAAGGCTTAACACAATGATGAGTGGAGTGGCACCACCTTCATGAGGTACCACTGTAGTAACCACCACGGTTGCTACCCTCGGCAAAACCCACAATGCCAAGGCCACAGCCCAAGCCGTGCCACTTCAACCTTCAAGGGCCTAAGCTCTAGACAAGCCGGCCTGAGCCGCCCAAACCCAATGTGGGCCCAATGTGTTGCCGAGCCGAGCCCTAACCTCGTACCCACGTGCGCCACATGCCGAGTAGTCCACTCCAGTGGCCCAGCCTACTCCATTGGCTTTCCAAGCAGCCCAAATTGGTCCAAGACTAGTTCAACCGTCTTGGCTTGAAAGTTTTGGGCCTATGATTGAGCCAGGAGCATTTTCACCACATTTCTCTACAGATTTGACATTCCCCAATTCAAATCTCGCGCTCGGAGTATACCACACTTCCACTGCTCAAGGAGATGCATCCTTTCCAAGCTCTTCCAATCTGAATGGCGAACAACACTTGTCTCAACAAGTCATAGAGTTGACAAGCGCCCTTGCACAATAGACGATCTTAGTGAACCAGCTCTTGTAGCGCACCGAGATCCAACGTGCCCCATACGAGATGTCCCGAAGTAGGACAATGGCAGATGAGGAACCTCTCCAGCAGCGTCCGGGTAAGCAGCTACTAGACCAGCGATGAATCGAGTGTTCGGGCAGTATACACTCCTAATTGGGCCCCCAAGATAATATATACTCCCATCTTAGCACGTGGAGGAGTGTGCGCTCTCGAATAGGCCCATGAACGAACATACACTCATGGTTGGGACCACACTCCGATAACCAACATGAGTAGCCTTCTAGGTGAAACGTTCATTCATGCCAGGCCCGCAAGGAACATCCTCCATATCACAGTGGTATAGGCAGCATAACAGATGGAGAGAAGCAGTCACTCAATTCGGCTCAAGTTCAATAGGCAGTCTGCGATGAATTCATTCGCCTGCCAAGAACTAACCACATGCACTGCCACCGCGGCATAGACAAACCAATCACATAGAAGAACATCCTAGACCAGTAGGTCACGACTGAGAGTAGCAGAGATCTCTGTTACCCCAACAAAGGAAAATTCAGAAAGAGGTAGAAATGCTCTTAAACAAGCGATTGCACGATTTCCAACGCAATAAGGTCATTGATAAAGCACTATGACGGGACATGACAAACATAAGTAGGTTACCCTTCACGAATGAGATCGAGCAAGCAGAGCCTCCATGCAAGTTCAGCATGCCACATTTCACATCCTTCAAAGGGGATAGAGACCCGAAGAGACACTTAAAGCACTACCAAAGCACAATGATCCTCTATCGAAATAACGACATTATCATGTGTGAGATATTCGCCACCATTTTACAAGGTGAGGTGCAAGATTGGTTCCACACCTTGTTGCTGCAATCCACCCGGAGTTTCAACTAACTTTCTTTGGTTTTCACCAAAGAATATTCATCCTATCGCTCAATCAAGAAGAAGTCCGACCACTTGTTCAACGTCAAGAAAAACCCAAAGGAATTGCTTCGCGACTATATGAAGAAGTTCAAAGTAGAGAAGGCAAAGATAGTCGGATGTAACGACTTAATAGCTAGTGCATCCTACCAAAAAGGACTCTCAACAAACCACCCGTTATTCGGAGAATTGATCATGAAAGAAGATCTAACTCTGGCTGACTCTTTCTATCTAGTAGAGAAGCATGCACTTTAGGACAAGACTCGTCAGTGCACATTCAAGGCAAATCCGAGCGATCTTGAATATGAAGTCCCCCATTACTTTGAAAGAGATTCAAGGTCTGATTGGATGAGTAGCCGCATCTGAAGAAGCAATAAGCTCTACCCTCATATGAGAAGAGTTAGGGGCCCAACTACCTGTATTCCACAGTTCAAAAGCTCTTTTAAATGCGGAAACAAGGTACCAGAAATTCAAAAGCTAACTTTGGTGACAGTTGTTGCAACCCGGAAGCTCAAGTTATACCTTCAAACGCACGTAGTCATCTTCATGACGCACTATTCCTCCCAATCCAAACTCGCGACGATAAAGGCGTAGACACTGGCGGTGTAAAGTTTTTTTAAGAACGCAATAACTTAGCCCAAAAAGGCACGCCAAAGGCAAACAAACATTAGAAGAATACTCGGAAGCAAGTTTTGTCCTCTTCACCCCAGAAGATTCTACATAAGAGCAACATGTACCAGCAGTTGAGCACCACCTCCTGCTGTGCGTCACATGGCCTCAGCTGACCCTTGCTCCATAATTCAGCTCTAAAGGAGCATTTCCTGTTATGTGTAACATGGCCCCAGCTCCACGGCTCCCTACCGTGCCTTCACGCCTTGCCTAGGTGACGCAACGGTTTGATGCTCGAGTAGGCAATCACTATACGTTTCAAAGCATCCAACAATGATGCATAGTACGAAGCCCTACTAGTAGGCCTCCGAATGGCAAAAGACTTAGCAGTGAAAAAGCTTGCATTTCATTTTGATTCACAGTTAATCACTAGCCAGACTACTGGGGAGTACACGGCAAAACACCCAAGGATGGTTCAATACTTAGAGAAAATACGCAAGCATTTTAGACTTACACCCTCACTCAAGTTTTGCGGGCAGACGATGCCCACATAGACGCACTAGTTGGCCTAGGCTCCGCCCTCGAACTCAAATGCTCTATCCCGGTAGAAGATAAGACAAGCAAAGAGGCGGAGCCAGCAGCTGAAGTGTCATAGGTTAGTACAACTCCAAACTGTCAAAATTCTATTATAGACTACCTGGGCAATGGCACATTTCCCATGGAAAGGTTGAAGTCTAGAAAGCTCCAAATAAAGGCAGCGCGCTACTACATGTGGAACGGCATTTTCGCCCAAAGATCCTACACTAGACCACATCTCTGCTGCCTAGCGCCTCCTGATGACCTAAAGGTTCTAAGCTTAATCCACGAAAACATTTGTGGAAATCACTCCGGAGGCCGATCCTTAGCGCAGAGGGCTACTACTGGTTTACCATGCATCAAGATGCTAAGAAGTTAATGAAAAAGTGTGACTGCTGCAACGCTATGAGCTGATACCAGCACTGCCTGCCAGCGAGCTACACTCGCAGACGAGTCCTTGGCCGTTCATGCAGTGGGCAATTGACTTGGTAAGGCCAATGTCGCCCGCTACTTAGGGCAGAGGCATGATGATTGTGGCAATCGATTACTTCACCAAATAGGTACAACTAGAGCCCATGACAACCACGACTCATACAGACATAGAGAGTTTCATATGGAGGAACATTATTTGCCGATTTGGTATCCTTCAATATATCTTCATTGACAACGGCCCACAGTTTGTGGGCAGAGATTTGGCGAAGTTCTTCCAAAAATATGGCATCAAGCACATGTCCATGCCGAGATATCCTCAAGGTAATGGGTAGGCCGAAGCATCCAATAAGACGATCCTCGACTGCCTCAAGAAATCCTTCACCGACAAGAAGGGAAAATGGCTAGACAAACTCCTTGGGTGTCTATGGGCATATTGCACCACCAAAAGATGAGCAATCGGTGAGACTATTTTCTCTTTGGCATTTGGTTCAGAAGCAATCATTCCTCCCAATGTCATCGTGCCAAGTATCAACACTCTACTGCCAAACATTGAGCAGAACAGTAATGAGATGGCCACAAGCTTATATCTGGCAGAGGAGAAGTGCAAGCAGACCATCGCCCGCATTGCAGCTTACCAACAATAGCTCATTTCCAGCTACAACAAAAGTACTAAGATTTGGCAGTTCCAACCTAGAAATCTAGTCCTAAGAAAAGCGTTCATCACTGTCTATAGAGAAGCTCTAAAAAGATGGATCTTATTTGGGAAGGTCCGTACGAGATCAACAAAGTAGACAACAATGGTAGTTACAGCCCCGCCACTATGAACGACAAAGAGATCGAAAAGCAGTGGAACGCCTACAATCTAAGGAAGTACCATGTGAGACCTCCCGCAACATCAAAGCCCAAAGACTCAAGCAGCTCAATGAGCACCACCTCGCCAGCTGAGGACTATCCAGTTGTTACGCAATTCCTACCTTACAGCTAAGTTCTCGTTCGTTACTCGTTTTTCAATGAGGAATTCAGTTTGATAATGAGAGAGACTACTACTGCTGTCCCCAATGCATAGCCACACATGTTGAACTTAGTAAATATTATGTCTTATTTATTTTATGTTGTATAGCACAACATGTATCAGTACAAAGTTCTAACCAAAGTTATCCCCGCTTGATTTGGTTAACAATTCTATGCCTAGCCCTTGTTCGATCCAAATCTGCCATAGTATACATCCTGAAGAACCATCACCAAGGTCCCAGTCCAATTCCTTCACTCTTTCTACTGATTTCTCAAAGAAACCATCTTTGATCTCTCTAATCAATAGAGGCCAAGCTGCCCAGTCAAGTATGGACCAAAGCCCAAGCTCCATGTTGAAATCCAGCCACGCCCACGTTTGGCTATGCGAGGTCTGCGAGCATGCTCCAGCTCATGTCACGTGCAAGGCCAACGACGCCACCCTCTGCATCACGTGCGACCGCGACATCCACTTCGGCAACCCTCTCAGCTGCAGCCACGCCACTTTACAATTTTGTGAACTCGGCTGCGGACTCGGTCCCCATCGTCAAATCTACCATCAAGTTCCTCGACAACCGTTACTTCGATGTGGATGGAGAGATCGAGGCTAGCAGTGATGAAGTCGAGAATGAAATGGCGATTAACGTGTGAGAGAACAAGGAAAAAAAAAAGGATCATATATAAAAATAAAGGGGAAAAGATGAGACATGACATAATCATTTTCCTTTTTTTCAAATCAATATAAAATAAATAAATAAAATAATAATAATAATGATGATGGAAAGTGGAGCAAGTAGAGGTGCTGGTGCATATCAACGGAACACTTCCAGACTTCCTACTGCATTATGAACCTTTTCAGGTCCTACCGCCAGAAACAGCTGGACTCCTTGCACTGACATATTCAGTTGGACTAAACAAGTCCCTGTGAGTCTGTGACCCAACAGAGCACTTTCACGCAGTACAGGAGATGAAACTAGATGAGGAGATCCTGAGTTGGTCTACTTATTCTGTGCGTCTCAGTTTCCAATTCTTCACTTCATCAGTGAGTCTGCTGACTGTTACAGCAAAGGCCATTCAATTATAAATATAGTTTGCAGTCATAGTCAAACTCCTGCTATATAAAAGCTACAAGGAAATCATAAATTAACATCAATTGAATTGTTGTCCAGCAATTCATCATCATCTTCTCAACTGATAAATGCTTTTCTTGTCCTTAAGTGAAACCAGTTGCCTATGTATTGCTTATTTATTCAACATAATGCAATATACAAACCAAAACGAATTACATGGGCAGCACACACAAGGATAAAGTATTACCAATCACTGAAGCAGTTGAGTGCGTCACCTAACCTAACTCGAAGGTGCTCTTATTAGAACCTTTGCAGGTTGTAGTAGTCCCCAATATGATTCCCATATACTTCTTTGAGGCATTTAATCAAACAACTTCGAGGCTAAATATGCGTAGTACCCACAACAGTGGAAAGCAGAACTGGAAATGCAGAGAGTCACAAAACAAAGATAAATTGTGATTCCTGTTTCAATCAACAACCACAAGTTCATTTTCTAAACATACAACGCAGGAAAAAAAATTATTCAAAGTTTGGAAGAATTGAAAAGAAAATTTTAAAGGTTTGGGTGAAAAATCATACTTGAGACATTTCAGAGAATGAACTCGACTAGAGTGGGAATGGAGTCGTACTGAGCAGAGAGATCAAAAGCCAAATGACGTCGGACACTTTCTTCTGCTCGATATGAGCATCGGTGAAAAAGGTAGTAGCTTCACAGACAGATGGAATGGCCTGTTCATCTTCGTCTGGCATGAAAAGAAATCAGAGGTGTTATGATTGGATTTTGGATGGCATTTGGTATTTATACCACCTCTTTCAAATCCATCGTAATCCTTCGCCTAATAAAATCCTACTAAATCTTTGAGATTTTGACTACACCTATACTTGTGTAGAGTTTTTTTTTAAATCATAATTGACTACCTCTAGATTTGGATGGAATTTTAAAATCCTCTTCAATTCTAATTTAACTACACCATGATTTCATAATCTTTTAAAATCATCTTCTAAAATTTTAATTGACTACACGTAGATTTCAAAGTCTATTAAAATCTTATCAAATTCTAATTTGATTACACCCCTAAATAGTCTTTTCATTATCTTTTGTTTGACAGAGATGATCTATTAATATGCAGTTTAGATTATAACATGAATGGTGCAGCACTGTCGCCTTTCTCACAATAATAGTCATTATCTTTAAGTTTTGATATTATGTGAATGGTGTTGTACTAAAGCCCTTGTCACAATCATTACTTATTAAAAGCAATTTATCTACGGTGGATGGAATAACCGCCCTTTACTATAATATACCTATTGTACTACATTTTGTTGTGATGAGTATATACCAAGACCCGAAGCTCCTTGATTAAATTAGAACTTGAAGTTCTTGATCCTCATCCTATAAAAGGATTGGACTTGAAATTCCATCATATACAAAGATTGGACTCGAAGCTTCTTGATCAAAATTGAAACATGAAGTTTCTAAATCAATTGAGAGAACAATAGTTATTCAATTTAATTGAAATGACGGCAACAAGCGGCTCAGTCCAAATATTAATAAATGAGGGCCAAAAGTATCTTGATTCATACAAATGGGGATCATAAAGTCCTTATTCTATGTACAAGTATGACATAAATTCCAAAATTATAAACCTAAAGGTTCCGATAATGTTGATGTCAAGAATAAATTTTGAGCGCATATGTTTTGATTGAAGTTCCAAAATATAAATAATGTTAAGAACTTGAAAGTTCTAATACTACTATCTAGTGGTTTACTTTTCACTGGTAAGTGAGAGATCTTAGGTTCGATTCTCGCCAAAGACAAATTTGAACCACATTATTGTGGAGCCAAAAATAGGCGACACATTGATTTCTAGACAAAAGAGGACAAAAGTACCCTTGAGGTACAACGGGATTCCTACGCGTGAGCAGTGGGCAGTCATCCCTCGACCAAGTCAAAAGTGCCCAAAAAAAGGCAACAATTCAAAAACCATCTCATCAAATCCCTCTTACAAGGTAACTCCCAAAACCTATTTCATTCCATATATTTTTTTACCTCTTTTTCTCTCTTTTAGCTAATCAATTAGCTATAATTACATAACCTCCAAAATATTCATTCCAAAAATGTGTTAATTGGCTAATTAATGGATTAATTACCTAATTAATCCATTAATTGCCAAATAACTCACACATTAAACCACAAAATGCACACAAAAAGCATCCCAAAGGCCGGCCACCTTTTCTCCAAAGGGGACTGGCCATGCCCTATAAATACTACCCATTTTTCTTTAAAAACCTAGGTTCACACTCTTGCAAAATTCAAAAAACTCTCTAAACATTTTTCTCTCTAAATTCTAATTTTGGCATCGGAGGTTCTTTGGCCAAAGCCCCCCCCCCAATTCATCGTGGGCGCGTGAGGCTCTTGGCCTTGACCTCAAGGTGTTAATTGTTTTGTAGGTGCAATTTTGTCCAAGATCAAGGATGAAGAAATTTGCATCCACAAATTGGTGTTTTCATTGAGAGAAGAGTCACACTCGTAGAAGACTCTTGCATAAAAAGGTTTTTTCTTTATTTTCTAGTCCACTTGTAGTTTTTCGTACGTTCTTATTACTAGAATTTTTTATTTGCAAAAATTCTTTGATAAAACGTAAAAGGGAAGTGCAATGGCTAGAAACTTAGAAAATTCAACAAGTGAAAATTCCAATATTCAAGAGATGGGACCGCGGTGATCCACGAGGCAAAATGTGACAATAGGTGGAACGACACCACCATCATGAGTTTCCACCACGGGAACCACTGCGGTGGCTACCTTGGTAGCCACCCGCGGCGAGGTCCATGGCACCACTACCACGGCCCAAGCCGTGCCACCAAAGCAATCCTAAGCCGTGCCATCCAAGGCTCAAGGCACCAAGGCTATGACCATGTCACTCCAAATGTGAGCTCAATGCGTTGCCAAGCCGAGCCCAAGCCTCGCATTCGTGTGCATCATGAACTGAGCAGTCCACTCTCGTGGCCCAGCCTGCTCCTGCAGCCCAGCCCGCTCCCGTGGTTTCCCAAGCAGCCCAAGTCGGTCAGAGACTATCTCAACCGTCCGAACCAATCATCGAGCTGGGGGCATTTTCACCACATTTGTCAACGAATTTGACATTTCCCAACTCAAATCTCGCACTTGGAGTCTACCACCTTTCCACTGCTCAATGAGGCATATTCCTTCCAAGCTCTTCCAATCCGAATGGTGAACAACACTTGTCCTAACAAGTCATGAAGTTGACAAGCGTTTTGGCACAACAGACGACCTTCGTGAATCAACTTTTGCAACGCACCGAGATCTAACATGCCCCAGACAAGGTGTCCTGAAGTAGGATAAGGGCAGACGAGGAACCTCTCCAGCAGCGCCCTGATAAGGGTAGTGTACATTCCCGATTGGGTCCCCGAGATGGCGTATACTACCTTCTTAGTGCTCGGATGAGCGTGCACTTTCAATTAGGCCCATGAGCAAGTATACATTCACAGTTGGGGCCACGTTCCGATAATCAACATGAGCAGCCTTCTAGGCAAAACATTCATTTGTGCTTAGGTCCGCAAGGAGCATTCTTCACATCACATTGAAGCAGGCAGCACAATGGACGGAAAGAAGTAGTTACTCAATCTGAATCAAATTCAATCGGCAACCTGCAAAGAATTCCCTTGCTTGCTAGGGATGAGCCACATGCACTGCCGCTTCGGCTTGAACAAACCAAGAGCATAGAAGAGCAACCTAGACCAGTAGGTCAAGACCGGGGGCAGCTAAGAGCTCTGCTACCTCAGCAAAGACAAATCCAAGAAGAGGTAGAGAAACTATTCAATGAATGATTGCGTGATTTTCAACGTAATGAAGCGGCCGATGAGGCATTATAGGGGGACATGACCAATATAAGTAGATCACCCTTCACAGACGAGATCGAACAGGCAGAGCCTTCACCCAAGTTTAGCATGCCGCACTTCAAATATTTCAAAGGAGATAGAGATCTAGAGAGGCACTTGAAGCACTACTGATGAGTGATGGTCCTTTACCTGAACAACGATGCCTTTATGTGTAAAATATTCACCACCACTCTACAAGGCGAGGTGCAAGATTGGTTTCACAGCTTGCCACCACGATCCATCAAAATTTTTGATGATCTTTCCTTGGTTTTCACCAAAGAATACTCATTTTACCGCTCGATCAAGAAAAAGTCCGATCACTTGTTCAACGTGAAGAAAAACCCAAAGGAGTCTCACCGCGACTACGTGAAGAGGTACAAACTAGAGAAGGTAAATATCGTCGGATGTGATGACTTAATAGCAAGTGCAACCTTCCAAAAATGACTCCCAGCAGACCACCCACTGTTCGGAGAAATGATCATGAAAGAAGACCTAACTCTAGCAGATTCCTTTGCCCTGGCAGAGAAGCATGCATTTTGGGATGAGGCTCGACAAGCAGAAAAGGCACTCGAGCAGCCTCAAAAGGAGTCGGCAGCTGCTTGAAGGAAGGAAGACGGGAAGTAGCCCAGAGAGGGCAGACATGAGGCCAAACGTAGGGACCGACCCATGACCAAAGAAGGCCTGATAACCAAGAGCTATTCTAAGTTCTCAATTCCGATTCATCAAATCCTTCGTGACATCAAGAATGAGCCATGGTTCAAGCTGCTGAAACAATCAAAGGGAGATACTTCCAAGTTGGACCACACCAAGTATTGCGCATTCCACGGAGGTCCTGGTCACACAACCAACGACTGTTACACTTGGAAGAACTATCTAGAAAAGCTCGTGAAAGAAGGCAAGGTCAATAGATACTTGGACAAGCTAGCTGCGCAGCCAAGAAGGAATGCAGACGATGATGAGGAGTTGCTAACCAAGACGATTCGAATCAATGGCATCTTTGCTGAAATCGAACACTTGGGGGCCACTAATAACTCCAAAAAAGGAAGATCCAGAAGGCTTTACTAATCTCTCAAGTTTACACAGTCGATACCCAACCTGGACCCATCATCGGCTTCATTGAGTGGGATGCAGAAAACATCGATTTCCCGTATGATGACACACTAGTAGTATCTTTCCAACTAGCCCATGCTATAGTTGACAGGATGATGGTTGGCAATGGGAGTGCAATCAATCTGCTTCAACTCTTAGTCATTCAGAAGATGGGCCTGGAAAGCACAATCATATGCTAAGTAGAGGTACTCACCGGATTCAACGGACACACTTCAACTACCATCAGTCACATCACACTTGACGTAAAAACATCGCCAGTTGTCTCTAAATAGACATTCATGATCAAAAGTGACCCGTCTCCTTACAATGGGATTCTTGGGAGACTTTAGTTGATTAAGTTGGACGCCGTCACTTCCGTCAAGTATCAAAAAATTCTATTTCGCATCCCGGAAGGAGGAGTCGAGAGATCAAGTCTGACCAAGCCACATCCCGACGATGCACTGTGTAAATGTTGAAAGAATAAAAAAAGAAAACCTTTACCCCCGTAAAAGCTACAGAAGTCCAAAGAGATAAAGAGGTTACCAAATAGCAATTACAGCAGAATGATCCAGAAGATGGTGCCCAAGTAGACGAGATAGGATGAAAACTTGAACAGGACGTTGAAGACATCATTCTGGATTCCTAGCAGCCGGAAAAGACAGCTAGAATTGGCTCACGAGTAAGCCCAATCGAGAAGGAAGAACTCCCGACTTTCCTTAGAGAAAATCAAGACGTCTTCGCATGGTTACCATCCGACATGCCAGGCATTGACCCCAAGGTGGCCTACCACAAACTACACGTCGACCTCACTGCCAAACCGATGATCCAAAAGAGAAGACATTTCACACCTGAATGAGTAGCTATCATTGAGGCGGAAATTGACAAGCTATTGGAGGCCAGATTCATAGAAGAGGTAGCACACT